CTTTTTAAATACTTTTTAAATATTGTCTCATAAAAACTAAATCTATTTATTACATCCTGTACATACATTAATACTGTACAAAATCCAGGGTGATATTTTAAATAAGATATATTTATAAAGTTCTGGTTACACTTACGTTTTTCAACCATCAACTTTGATCCATCTCCAAATATCAGCTTGTTACCAGCACCTCCATAATTCACACAGTGTTTGGTGGCTCAGCAGAAACCACCAGCTCCACACACAGTATTTAAGCAAAGTCTTAATTTGCAGGATTTTGTCGGAAAAAAGTTTGATTAATTAACATGACTAATGATATTTGGAGTATTAGAATTAGAATGAACTGTATTGATCCCAGGGGGGAATTCTAAAATCTAGGGAAATGTTGATCACTTTAAATTAAAATTAGATTCTCTAATTAATTTGACAATAAATGTGTTACAGTATTGCCACTGGTGTCAAACATGAATAAACACAAATCAATCAGCTATTACTGTCCTTTAAACGATCATCTCTAATCATTTTCAATAAATATACCCAGGATTCTCCACAGATACTTTCAATCAACACACGAACCACTGAACAAACACATTATATTCATGATATACAGAGAATATATTATTATACCCGTTATAAGTATTATGAAAACAGGTGGCCCCAACAGAGCCTGGGAGAAAACATCTAACAAGTTATCACTTACTGGTCTCTATGATCAGTCGCGTTCCCTCACCAAACGTTAATTTGTTCCCAGCACCAACCTTCACACAGTGTCAGAGAGCAGTATGTAAACCTCAGACTCTACAGGAACAAGGTCCTGACCCTCTGCATTTATAACTACAAAATACTGCACTTCTCTCACTAATAACCTCCCTAACTGAGAATAATGAGGTCAATATAAATATTCATAATAATTAAAGTACTAATTAAAAGAATGAAATAACTTGAAATTGATAGATAACACAGGTTAGTACTTACTGGTCTGTATGATCAGTTGTGTTCCTTCACCAAATATTATCTTGTAATTACCACCAGCATTCACACAGTGTCACAGAGCAGTATGTAAACCTCAGACCTACAGGCACAAGGTCGTGACCCTCTACATATGTAACTCCAAAACACGCCACCAGAAACTTCTCACACTAATAACCTTTTCAACTGAGAATAATCAGGTTAATATAAAAATATACATAATAATTAAAATACTAATTAAACGATCACAATGACTTGAAACACAGATAGCATAGGTTGGCACTTACTGGTCTGTATGATCAGTCGAGTTCCTTCACCAAATATTAACTTGTAAACTCCAGTAGCAGTATTCACACAGTGTTACACTACAGTACAATATACACTGTCCATCATCATGCATTTACACTGATGTCACTGTTCAGTCTAAACACTCATTTAATTAATAATCATCTCAGACTTATGATAATGTAAATGAGAGGGAAATCATCAATTCTACAGGTTCAAAAACATAAGAAATATGTATATTTTATGGTTACCTCTGGTTATATCATGTTATCAAACATTACTACACAATTCATTTTACCCTGATCTCAGTCCATAGAGAAAGTGAATTAAACTGCAACATCATGGATAACACAGATCATCACTTACTGGTCTGTATGATCAGTCGCGTTCCTTCACCAAATATTAATTTCCATCCAGCAGCACCACCAGTATTCACACAGTGTTACACTACAGTACAATATACACTGTTCATTATCATGCTCAACAGAAACTACCAGCTTCAGATACAGACCAGAAATTAAAATATATTAAACCCACTGCATCATGTCTGGATAACTTAACGAATAAATTAAGCATAGATATAAAATTAGTACAAACTTAGTCATTTCATATATCCTTGAGTAGACAGATAGGTATTTATCTTGAGAAGCGCAGTGTACTATACAGTATATCAGACACAGCCAGCTGTCCACAAAAAACCATCTAGTCAGATAGTGACATACATACTACTATTGTATATTTATTATGTACTCACTTGGTAAGTCATGAGCCTTCATCAAATACTCACTTCCCAGCACCACCGTCACACGGTTTAATAGCACTGTCTCCAAGACCGGGATTAAAGTGGCATTGTCACTGCTGTTAAATTACAGGATTGTTTGGAAAATTATATTATAAAAAACGCAAACGTAGCAAAACAAACTTTTGGTCAAACTTACGATTCTCAACAATCAACCTTGTTCCACTTCCAAACGTGGTCTTAACTCCAGAATTCACACAGTGTTTGATGGCTCAACAGAAACTACCAGCTCCAAAGACTGAACAGATATTAAACGCTATTAAACCTATGTAATGCACTTAATTATGTTTAAACCTTTATACAGTGTAACGCGCTGCATTACTTACTTTGTTGAACTACCAGCTTTGTTCCTGAGGCAAAGGCCAGTTTTCCACCAAAACCAGCATTCACACAGTGTCACAGAGCATTAAGTAAACCTCAGACTCGACAGGTACAAGGTCATGGTCCTCAAGAAATCCTTGTAGTTATAACATGAACCTGGACCCATATACTGATGTATACAGTGTATTGTACCGCAAAAACAGTATATAGGTAAAATTTTATATTAGGATTAGTAGCAAATTCTAAAACAAATAATGTTTACACAGATTCTCTTTTTAATTATGAACATGGTTATATATGGTGTTACGAATGTATGAATGTGAAATGTTCATTTCTCAATTTTACACTGACCGGATCCCATTGAGAAAAGTAATTAAACTGTAACATCATAGATAACACAGGTCATCACTTACTGGTCTGTATGATCAGTCGTGTTCCTTCACCAAATATTAATTTTTTATCATATGTATTCACACAGTGTTACACTGTAGTACAATATGCCCTGTCCCTCATCATGCATTTACACTGTTCTGCCTAAAGCATTCATTCCATATATAACCTATCCATATATAACCTGAATCTAACCCAGCAGAGAAAGTGAATTAAACTGCAATATCACAGATAACACAGGTCATCACTTACTGGTCTGTATGATCAGTTGTGTTCCTTCACCAAATATTATCTTGTAACCAGCATCATTCACACAGTGTTACACTACAGTACAATATACACTGTCTATCATCATGCATTTACACTGATCTCACCCTGCAGTCTAAAGCACTCATTTTTAAAGCAGTTTTGTAATATTTGACAAATATTTTTTACACTGTAGTTTACAAATATACTTGCAAACATGCTCCTGCAATTCAACAAGTACAGCACTGCACAAACAATGTAAGGGTTGTGGGTTCAAATCCCTGGGAGCACAAATAAATAATACTTCCATCTACCAGAGAGATACTGTTACTTTGTGTTATGTTACAGGATTCTTTACAAAATAGTTTTATAAAAAATCTAGGAAAATGTCGTGCTCAAACTTACCATTCTCAACAATTAGCTTTGTTCCATCGCCAAATACGATCTTACCAGCACCTCCAAAATTCACACAGTGTTTGATGGCTCAACAGAAACTACCAGCTCCAGATACAGACTAGATAACCTGCACTGAACCCACTGAATCATTGGTTTATGCTGAATATAGATGTGATTTTCTAGTACTCTGGACAGTGCATTTGTATAAGGCATGTTTCATAGCCAGAATCAGTGTGACAGGAGACCCACGGTCTTTTATAAAAATGATTACTAACTTACTTTCATTATTGAATACACATTTCAATACAGTGAGAGGTGCTCAAATATTCTGCCAAATTAGCCACAGATATTCAGACCTCATGAAATGAAGTGCTACTGTAAACACATCATATCAGATACGGCCAAACTTCCGCAAAAAAGCCTCTGGTCAAACAGTGACGTAAATATTAATACTGTAAACTTAAGCCAGTACTCACTTGTCTGTACAATAAGTCGCGTTCCTTCACCAAATAACAACTTCCCAGCTGCACCGCCAGCATTCACACAGTGTTACACCACACCACAAAATACACTGTAGATGTAATGACAATTTATTGGATACGTCCTGTAATTGCACACCGTCTAACGCATTGGGAGCCTGTCCCCTCAACAAAACCAGCATGAAAGTGCTATTGTCACTGCTGTCCTGTTGTAGGATCATTTTCAAGACATTCTGGTCAAACTTACCATTTTCAACAATCAGCCTTGTTCCATCTCCAAATATGATCTTACCAGCATAATTCACACAGTGTTTGATGGCTCAACAGAAACTACCATCTCCAGATAAAGACCAGAAATTGAACTGTACTGAACCCACTAAATTATGGGTTTATGCTGAATATAAATGTCATTTTCTAGTACACTGGCCGGTTCATTTATAAAAGGTGTGTTTCACAGCCAGAATCAGTGAGACAAGACACCCACAATGTCTGGAAAGCTTAATGAATACATTATATGTTGAAAAAAAAATGAATATGAACATAATATCTGCACTGCATACACATTTGAATATAGTTGAAGGTGTTAAGGTATTCTGCCAAGTTAGCCAAAGATAATCAGATCTCACGAAACGCAGTGTATTGTACATAACATCAAAGACAGCCAGCCTTTGACAAAAAAAGGAAACCTCTGGTCAGATGGTATGTAAATATTAATACTGTAAATTTAAGCTAGTACCAGTACTCACGTGTCTGTATGATCAGTCGTGTTCCTTCACCAAATGTTATCTTCCCAGCACCAGTATTCACACAGTGTTATATGGCAGCACAAAATACACTGCATGTAATATCTAAGGCACTGGAAGAGGTTCCTGTCCAGCTATCCAGGATTCCAGCGATAAAGTTAAATATAACTCACCATAAAAACACAAACCTCTGATCAAACTTATGATTTCTGACTATCAGCCTTGCTGCACCTCCAAATGTGATCTCGTTACCAGCATTTGGTGCCTCAACAGAATCTCCAGATATAGACCAGGTACTGAACTGTATTAAACCATGTCATGCACAAAATTATGTTTAAAACCTTATAAAATGTAATACATTTCAATACTTACTTAGTTGAACTATCAGCTTTGTTCCTGAGCCAAAGACCATTTTTCTACCAGTACCAGTATTCACACAGTGTCACAGATCAGTATGTAAACCTCAGACCCGACAGGCACAAGGTCCTGACCCTCTGCATATATAACTGCAAAACACTCCACAATAAGCTGTAATAAACTCTCTAATAAACTCTCTGAGCATAATCAGGTCAGTCACAACAGCAAATATAAAATGAATGCATGCTAATTAAAAGCAATAACTTGCAATAAGTCTAACTGGTGTTCTTTTGAATGTCACCAAAAAATTAAACAACAAAGAATCTCAAATACAGTATATGATATATCTGTACTGCTCTTAAACATATACAAAAACAGTACAAAGGGTCAGATTTGCTTACAAATCATTTCCTTATTTTTTTCACTAATCTGACACAAATGAGAAAGTATACAAACCTCAGGTTATCACTTACTGGTCTGTATGATCAGTCGAGTTCCTTCACCAAATAGTAACTTGTTAAGTCCAGTACCATCATTCACACAGTGTTACACTACAGTACAATATACACTGTCCATCATCATGCATTTACACTGATCTCACCCTGCAGTCTAAGCACTCATTTTATAAACAACTCAACCTTATAACAATGTAAACAAAATCAATAATTCTACAAGTTGAAACGCATTAGATAAATGCTTCTTTTATCAATCACCTCTTGTTATATCATTTCATCTTGCAGTTATTACAAGTTGTTGGACAATTTAGTTGTACACTGTATGATGACAATACAGTACATTCTATTCTAATTTATTTTATACAGATCTGACCCCTCAGAGAAACATCACAAATAACACTGGTCAATACTTACTGGTCTGTATGATCAGTCGTGTTCCTGCACCAAAGGTTAATTTGTAACCAACACCAGTAGCAGTATTCACACAGTGTTACACTACAGTACAATATACACTGTCCATCATCATGCATTTACACTGTTCTCACCTTATAGTCCAAAGCACTCATTTCATAAGTAATCATGTCAACCTATTAGCAATGTAAACGGGGCTGAAATTCAACAAGTATTTATTACTTGTTTCCAATTTTACTTGTTTCCAGTTTTCTGATGGTTTGTGTAATTAAAGACATGAGTGAGATACAGGAAATGACTGATTTATTCTTCTTCTTGAGTGGTTAAATGATAGAACTTTAGAACACAGATAATACAAGTTATCACTGTTTTCCTGAACTTTCATTAGTGTCAGATGTGACTTGACTATAAATATTGAAAAACAGCAGCTTAATCACATAAATGTTCTTCTATCCAACTTCTACTGTCTATGGAGTTCATTATATATGGCTGAAGACAAAAGGTCAAATCTACATTGATCAGACCCAACAGAGAAAGTGAATTAAAACATAATATCATAGATAACACAGATCATTACTTACTGGTCTGTATGATCAGTCGTGTTCCTTCACCAAATATTATCTTGTAACCTCCAGTAGCAGTATTCACACAGTGTTACACTACAGTACAATATACACTGTGCATCATCAAGCATTTACACTGATCTCACCCTACAGTCCAAAGAATTAATTTTATAAGTAATAATCTTATAAAATGTTAATGTTTTACGAATACACAAAACTAAACAATACTGGTCAAACTTACACTTTACCACAATTAAGTAACCAGTCAGCATAACAAGGACTGAAATAATATTGCAACCTTGCAAAATAATTTTGTTATAGGATTCTTTACAGAAAAACCTTTATTAATATTCTAAGAAAATTGTATGTTAAGTTCAAACTTACCATTCTCAACAATCAGCCTTGTTCCATCACCAAATATGATCTTACCAGCATTATTCACACAGTGTTTGATGGCTCAACAGAAACTACCAGCTCCAGATACAGACCAGATATTAACCTGTATTGAACCCACTGAATCATAGGTTTACGCCGCATATTAATGTCATTTTCTAGTACACTGGTCAGTCCGTTTGTAAATGGTACGTGCTTTAACATTAGAATCTGGCCTAATCAGTTGAATACATGTCTAAGATATAGCACTTTAGATTCACGACATATGAAATGCATTAAAAATAAGGTAGGACACCACAGTTTACTTACTCAGCTCTACAAATAAGCGAGTTCCATGGCCAAACACCATCTTATCAGCTGAGTTCCTCACACAGTGCCATCATCCATTCTAAATACCTGCCACTCGCTGCAATCCTATTTATACATTATCTGTAATCCATCAGAACTTGGAGAAACCAGCAAGCCACCCTCAGTAAAATATTACACTGCTGATTAATCTGCATGTAATAATTCGAAGACGACTTACTTGGTTCCACCAAGACTTTAGTTCCATGGCCAAAAATGACTTTGTACGTCCCTGTAACAGTCACACATAGCTACGCACCGTGACAAATTCTATGTGTGTTAACACAGCCAGGATGGGTGAGGCAGGAGACACATAGTGTCTGAGAAACTTAATGACTAGATTACGTTTTGATCTAAAAACATAACAGTATAAACACAATATTACTGCAAACACGTTTAGTGAATATGGTATTTAGCTATTCTGCCAAAGTTAATCAGACCTTGCAAAATGAAACATACTACATAATATATAACAGCCAGCTTCCCACAAAATAACTTCTTGTCACCTTTTCTGGACAAACAGTGATGTAATTATTAACATAGTCATTTTAATTACTATAATATAACAGTAATTTAAACCAGTACTCACTTGTCTGTATGACACCAATTAATTAAGCAAGATAATCTCTTAATTTTTTTGATTTTCTAAATAATATTTATGTGGTTCTATTGCATCATACATATAAATATATGATGTTTACATGCTACTCTGAAACATATAGAAATAGGCTGGAGCAAATACAGCACACAGGGTCAGACTTAGTGACATTTTTTTCCCTCCATATCATTTTTGTGAAAGGACCCAAAAGTGATTTAAAATGTAACAACACAGATAAAACAAGTCATCACTTACTGGTCTGTATGATCAGTTGCGTTCCTTCACCGAATATTAACTTGTTAAATCCAGCATTACCAGTATTCACACAGTGTTACACTACAGTACAATATACACTGTCCATCATTAAGCATTTACACTGATCTCACCCTTCAGTCTAAAGCAATCATTCAACATAATCATCTCTACAAAAACAGAAATAGGAAAGAAATCATAAATTCTACTCGTTGCCTAAATTTATTGTCTATATCTAGTTGTTGTCTGTGCCTTATAATCAAAGTTTTACTGTTGGTTTGTTTTACTACACAGATGAATGATCTATGAGGAATGACAGACTGGTTAATATAGTGAAATTGGATTGATTCGCCTCCCGATACAATTAAGAAAAAAGGTGAGCAGGCAGAGTCTGGGAGAACAAATTAAACTTTACCAAAACAGATAACACAGGTCATCACTTACTGGTCTGTATGATCAGCCGTGTTCCTTCACCGAATATTAACTTTCCAACACCAGCTCCAGTATTCACACAGTGTTACACTACAGTACAATATACACTGTCCATCATCATGCATTTACACTGATCTCACCCTGCAGTCTAAGCACTCATTTTATAAACAACTCAACCTTATAACAATGTAAACAAAATCAATAATTCTACAAGTTGAAACGCATTAGATAAATGCATTGCAGAGGTAAAACTAATATACAGAATGTATCCTTCATTTCACACACTCTAAACCACTGGAAGTTAATCTAACCAGGAAGATACTGGCACTGTTGTAATATTATAAGATTATTTACAAGATAATATTACAAAAAGTTCTGGTAAAACTTACGGGTTTCAACAATCAACCTTGTTCCACCCCCAAAGGTGATCTTGTTAGCTCCATAATTCACACAGTGTTTGAGGGCTCAACAGAAAGTACCACCTCCAGATAGAGACCATATATTGAACTGTATGAAACCTATCTTATGCAACAAATTATGTTTAAAGCCATATAAAATGTAACACATTTCAGTACTTACTTTGTTGAACTATCAGTTTTGTTCCAGAGCCAAATATCAGTTTTCCACCATAACCAGTATCCACACAGTGTCACAGAGCAGTATGTAAACCTCAGACCCTATAGGTACAAAGTCCTGACCCTCTGGTCGCCTATATGCAGTTATACCATCAACTATCATCCACATACTGCTATTCATCATTAATCAAGTATGACGGTTCAGGATCAGGAACTAAATTAGTTAACAGTGAACTAATTAGTTAATTAACTATAGTTCCTGCATGAATACAAGGACTGTCATACTTTACTAATGATGAACTAACACTTAATGTTTAACACATTAACACTACATTATTTGTGTCCCCTCAAGTAAAGTGTTACCCCAAATTATAGATTACAGCTATAATACAGCTAATGGATCCATATTAACACTATTCACCACCAAAAACACATAATCACAGAACTACCCTCTCTAAGAAGCTCTCCATTGAGTTTAATCAGGTCAGAACAGAACATCCATGTAAATATCAGGTTATCACTTTCCGTTTTAATAATTAATATAATCATGAATAATCTATAAAGACTAAATAACAGAACACAGTATCTTTTTACGCATCACATAGAAATGGACAAAAAAATTAAGGCAGATTTTCTTAGATTTTCTCTTTTTTCTTTACAATGACTCTACTGGGAAATTAAATAGGCAACAAAGGTTATTACTTACTGGTCTGTATGATCAGTTGAGTCCCTTCACCAAATATTAGCTTGTAATTAGCACCACCATAGGTATTCACACAGTGTTACACTACAGTACAATATACACTGTCCCTCATCATGCATTTACACTGATCTCACCCTGCAGATTAAAGCATTCATTTTAACTACAATCATCTCAGCATTATAACAATGCAAATAGGAGGGGGATCATAAATTATGATGTTGTAAATTATTTCTTTGCTATAAAAACCAGTCACAGACAAACTTACAGTTTGCCAATATTAACTTGGTTCCTGACTGTATGAGTACTTATTTAGGAAATGAGTATTTAATTTTATTTTAACTGTTTTTAACAAACCCCAAAGTTCAGAT